ACTGCCGCTCCTCACACCCCCGCCTGCAGCAGCCCCGCTGCCTCTGCTTCTAGCGCCCGCAGCCATTATTGCCCTAGCAGGGCCAAAGATCAAGAGAAAATTACCGTGCGTTGCCGCTCCAGTCTCCTCCAGGTATCTTCAGGACTAACTAGGAGATGGTGTAGTTGGATAGCAGGGAGGGGTGCAAAGTTCCTGCCAATTCGCCTTCGCTGCAGACAACTTACAGGTGCAAAGTTTGCCGACCAGGTGTTTTGACGTGCTCAGCAGCAAATTCCTATTGGCTTTCGAAAGCCAATAGGGGGAGTAGCACAGCTCATGCAAAAGCTGAAAAAAAAATCAAAAATGGTGCTGGAACGCCGTTCTGAGCGTTCTATGAGGAAAAAAAAGCCCTGCAGATTAGTCTTCAAATATCAGAAAGGAGGACATGTAGGAGGACTCTTTTCGAGGGAGGACAGAACTTAAAAAAGGAGGACTGTCCTCCCTAAAGGAGGACGGTTGGTCACCTTATATAAAACAAAGATATTGTCAAAAAGGCCTCTATAGTGTAGGTGTCCATTTAAAATGGCAAATGTGGAATGCAACTCACAATCTATAGTAAATTGTGCTGTGTGGTCTCACATAGCCATGAGTCTCTGTGCACCATGTGCAGCCGATCAAGAATAAAATTCTGGAATTTTCTTCTCATACAAATTGACCATTGTATGACTTAGTATAATCTTGAATCCAGCCAATGCCAGGTTAATAGGAGCCCAGGTGGCACAGTGTTAAGTGCAGTATTGCAGGAAAACTCTTTTCATACAGAGAATCTATCTGCATATGGCAACCTACCTAAAAAGTTAACTATGAAAATGCTGTATTTTAACTGCTTTATTTCTCAGCCTTTCCTCATTGGCCAGATTTTTCATCCCTGAGATTGCAATCCATTAGCCTCCCTCAATGGATTTTAGAACTGCTAAAGTGGAATTAAATGGCAAAGATCAGGGCTCCTGCTATTTGAACTATGGTCATTATTCCATTTGGCAGATGTGAACAGCCAAACAAGATCCACATTCAAATCTGCAGCCAGGGCTGGATTTAGAGTTTCTTTTTCAAAGGGAGTGTTTAAGCCAGGGGTAGGCAACCTTGGCTCTTTTATGACTCGTGGACTTCAACACCAGCATGGCTGGCTCAGGAATTCTGGGAGTTGAAGTCCACAAGTCATAAAAGAGCCAAGGTTGCCTACCCCTAGCTTAAGCAAAAGTCACCTTCAAGAAGAAGAATTAGAAGATGTCTCACCAGCCAGGATTCCATAGATGAGAATCTTAAAGGTGAAAACCACCCAAGAATATTTGGATATTCTAAAAAATATGAATTATGAAAGCCCAGCCCAATACCACTGAAAAATAAAAATAAGAAATCCAAGAAGAAACCAGCATGGTTGCACAAGAATTTTCCAACAAATTGAAAGATAAAAAGGATAAGTATAAAAAATGAAAAGAGGGACCGATAACTAAGGCAGAATGGTGGCATATAATTCAAATCTGCACATAGTCCAAATAGGCTGAATAGCAGTAATTGCAAAAGGGAAGTTGGAGTCCTAGTGGACAATAACTTAAATATGTGTCAGCAGTGTGCTGCAGCTACAAAAGCTAAGGCTCAGAATGAAGTAAGACTTGCAACAAATGTCAAAAATAATAAAAAAGTTTATTTTGCATATAAAAACCAAGAAAAAAGTCAAAGAAACAATCAGACCACAAATAGGAGATGATGGCAGCAGGGAGAAGGCAGAACTGCTTAATTAGTTTTTTGCATCTCTCTTCATACAAAAAGAAAAAAATAGCCCAACCTACCAAAAGTATAACTATAAAAGACAGATTAGGAATACAGATAGTCTTTGATTTACAACAGTTCAATTAGTGACCATTGGAAAAAAGTAACTTATAGCCGTTTTGCAACATCCCCATGGTCACATGATCAAAATTCAGACATTTGGCAACTGATTCATATTTATGACAGTTGCTGTGTCCCAGTAACATGTGAGCACCTTTTGCGACCTTCTGCCAAGCAAAGTCAATGGAGAAGCCAGATTCAAAAGAACTGCAGTGATTCACTTAACAATGGTGGCAAGAAAGGTTATAAAATGGGGCAAAATTTACTTAACAAATGTTTTACTTAGCAATAGAAATTTGGGGCTTGATTGTGGTCATAAGTCGAGGCCTACCTGTACAAATTAAAATAGGCAAGAAAATTGTAAGAGAACACCTGTTCATCCTAGTTTAAATCACCAGATCCTGATGGATTACATCCCAGAGTTCTGAAGAAGCTGGCAAATGTGATCTCTGAATCATTGACCCATATGTTTTAAAGATCCTAGAGCACCAGGGAACTACCAGAGGACTGGAAAAGATCCGAAGTGGTTCCCAACTTCAAAAAAGGAGGAAAAAAAAAACAGATCCAGAAAACTACAGACCAATCAGTCTGACATCAGTGTCTGAAAGATCATGGAAAAGATAATCAAGCAACAGATGTGTGAACATCTAGAAGCAAGCAATGTTTTAAATAGAAGCCAACGTGAGTTTGTCAAAAACACATCATACCAAATAAATCTTATTTCATTTTCTGACAGTGACTAAATTAGTAGACCATCAAAATGCTGTGGACATAGTATACAAGGCATTTGACAAAGTATATCACAACCTACTTCTTGATAAGCTAGAAAAATGTGGGGATAGACAGCATCACCACTAAATGGATTTGAAACTGACAAATTGAACTCAATGTGTAGTCCTTAATGGAACTGCATCTATATGGAACAATGGTTCTCAACCTTTTTAATGCCGCGACCCCAACCGGTTGTTAAGTCAAGGACTAAACTGATCGTAAGTCGAGGACTAAACCGGTCGTAAGTCGAGGACTACCCAACTGGTCGTAAGTCAAGGACTTTCCCTGCCCGGGAGCGCCGCGCATGCGTGGTGCTGCCCCCTGCGCCAGCCAAGGTATAGCTGGCAAGCGGCAGAGATGGAGCAGGCTGACCACTGGCTGGGCCACCAAACTCTAGCTCATATAAAAAGAATTTATAATGTCTTAATAGAATTGGATTCTGAAACGGAATTAAAGATTGCATGGTAAAATGGGCACAAAATATTCAAGAGCCGATTCTATTGGATACATGGGAGACAATTTGGGTTAGAAATGTAAAATTTACTGAAGCTCAAAATTTGAGAGAAAATTTTTATAAAATGTTTTATAGGTGGCATTTGGATCCCCAAAAGTTGTCTTGTATGTATCCTAACTTGCAGCCCAAATGTTGGAGATGTGGTAGTTTGGATGCAACTTATTTTCATATTTGGTGGACTTGTAGAAATGTAAAAGCTTTTTGGATTAAAATTTGGTGGATCATTCAGAATATTTTTAAAAGAAAGATAAAGTTTACTCATCAACTATTTTTGTTGGGTATTATTGTAGATTTTGATGTTAAGGAAACTAATTTGATGTTGAATTTAATAATAGCAGCAAGGCTGTTGGTAGGGCAATACTGGAAGGAGTCTTTGCCTACTATAGAAGAATGGACGCTTAAAGTGTCAAATTTAGCAGAAATGGCTAAAATTTCTGCTTATTTGAAGGATTATTCACAAGAAAGATATATTTCGGTTTGGAGAAGATGGATAGATTATATTCAGAATAAATATGGCACTAAAAAGTTCCATTTATTTTACGAATAAATTATTGAATATTATTATTGTTATTATTATTAATAGCTTAGTGTAGTGGAATTTTTATTATATTGTATTGTTTATACATTGGGATTTTAATTTGTTTATATGATACAGTTTATTTGTAAATTGTTTACTCTATGTTAAAAGAGAGTTAAAGTGCATTATATTTGTTTATCTACATAGTTGGTTAATGTTAGTTAGATTATGATTATTATATTTGTTACCCTGTATTCAGCTCTGGGAAGTGGGGAAGGGGGTAGGGTGGGTGGGTTTGGGGTGTATTTTGTAATTTTTGTAAAACTTTTCAATTAAAAAAAAAGAGCCAGATGGATCACGACAGACTTGAACACTAGGACCTATATAACAAAATGAAATTCAGTGTAGAGAAAAGTAAGTTTTTACTCTTTGACAAGAAAAACCAAATGTTTTAAGTGAAAAACTTGGCTAGATAGCAGTAACTGCGAGAGGGATCTTGGAGTCCTAGTGGACAATCTTTTAAATATGAGTCAGCCACCCAAAAAGCTAATACAATCCTAGGCTGCATTAACAGAGAGATAGAATCAAGATAACGATAAGTGTTACTATTGCTTTAGTACGCCTTCGTAATTGGGTGGAATATTGCACCCAATTTTCGTCACCAAAATATAAAAAGAATGTTGAGAGTCTGGAAAGAGTACAGAGAAGAGCAACAATGATTAGGGGGCTGGAGACTAAAATATAGAAAGAATGGTTGCAGGAATTGGATACGTCTAATGAAAAGGACTAGGGGTGACATGATAGCAATGTTCTATTTGCAGGTGCTTCCCAGTGCTCCCCCTTCTCAGCTCTTTGCAATACGCTCGGGCTCTTTCCAGATGGGTCTTTCAAGTCTCTAGGGGTCTGATGAAGGCTCGGCCGAACTGGGCGCTCCACATCCGCGGGCGGACAAATGGAGACCTCCTTCGACTTGGGAGTGTCGAGACCACACAGGCCCCAAGGGATGCGGCCTCCGGAGCCCTCCCACCGCGACAATTCGGGGCTACCTCTCCCCCTCCGGCCGAGCCCTTGCTCCAAGCAGCACTGCCTCTCGCCTTTGCGCGCAGCCGCAGCAAGGCGAAATCCATCCGACCCCGCCCAGGCTGGACGCCTCTGCCTCCCAAGCGGTTTCCCGGAGACTGCCGTAGCAGCGAGGGCGCCGAACAGAAGGAAGGGCAGCTGCTGACTCTTCCTGTTAATCCGGTGCGTCTTCTAGGCCAGCCGGCCTTCGCGCTCTGAAGGTGGGTGCTTAGCATGAGACATCTGCCAGGCGCGAACCGATTTGCGGGGCCGAAGGGCACCCCCGCCGGCTGCAGTCCTACCGCCTGCGGGCCCTCCTTTTGCCGCCACCAGTTTAGGAAGCGTTCATGGGCAGGCCGGGTCAGCCCAAAACAAATTCGGATTAATCCGAATTAATATCTGGTCTGGCTAAGATGACGCGTTTTCCAAAGCCGAATAACGAACATCGGGCTGCCTTCAGCCAAAATGCCCACGGTTCTGGGTTCGCCTTGTAAAATGAACAGCAAAGTGAGCAAACAGCAAAGTAAGCAAAGAGTGTGTATGGCGCCCTGACCTGTAAAACCCTGTTGAAAGAAAGATCTTCATCAGGGTCCAGTCCAGGTTGGGAATAAACAAAATGCTTTAGAACAGGGTTTTTCAACTTTTTCACAAATTGTACCACTTTTAGGATGTGACAATATTCGTGTACCAACAGTGCTTAGCAAGGTGTCAAAAACTGAAAAAAAGGGGTGGGATTTTGGATTTTACTGGTTAGATTCATTTGTTGTTATAGAAATGGCTAGTTTATACAGTACTATTATGGAAAAGTAAAAAGTTGAGGTTTTATGTTAATGTTTCATTCTACTGCAATAGAGCAGTGGTTCTCAACCTGTGGGTCGGGACCCTATTTGGGGTCGAATGATCATTTCACGGGGGTCGCCAAACAACGCAGTCCGCCATTTTTCCCCCTTTTCCTTAGCTGTGCTAATCCCTTTTATTCTGTTGGCTTTCTTCATTGGTGATTCCTTTGCTCTCAGGCCATGCGGAGGACCCCCGGCGATGCAGGCTGCCCAGAGCCCTGGGCAGTGGAGGGCAAGTGCCCAGCTCAGCCTAGCCTTCCCCGAGGGGGTGCCGGGCTGCACTTATCTCCTCGAGCTTACTGCTGCCTGGCTCATTCTCCTTGGCCAGGTTGCGCATGGTGTGTGCAGGAGGGCAAAGGGTGTGGGTCAGAGGGAGGCCTACTCCCTCTCCATGTGAGGAGACCCGATTTTGTAACCAAAGCATCCTCAGCGATAGGATGGGAGGCCACCAGAAGAGTCAGGAGGAGGGGAAAAGGGGGTGGCAAAAGGGCAGCAGGGCTGGTCGTGGCCAACTGCTATGGCAAGACTTCCCTCAGACCCTCCCTCTCATTATAACCTTCCTTCCTCCCTCCCCTTTTTTTTTAACTGCCAGAGGCTTCAGGCAGAGGTGGGCAGAGGCTTCATCTTTTGACCCCTCCCCCTGTCATTGCCTCTGTGTGGCTCTTAGCTCACCTCTCCGAGTTCCACAGCTCACTTCTCCCAGACCTGTGTGTGTGTGTGTGTGTGTGTGTGTGTGTGTGTGTGGGCAGGCAGGCAGGCAGGCAGGCAGGAGGGGTCTCACCCCTTGCAACCCAGGCCTCAACAGAGACCTTTTGTGATAGCAGGCTGAAACTAATGAAAGCTGTTTTTTTGGAGTACTTGTTTCTTTTTCTCAACATGCCGCCGATCGCTTTGCGCCCTGCCCCCTCCCATCGCAGCTTCTCTCGTCTCTCCTGTTCTTTTCCTCCCCAATGCCACAGCATGAGGCTGCAAGGAGAGAGACCCCCCCACATGCAGAAATATACACACACAAACACATGCACGGGTCTGGGAGAGTCGAGCTGAGAGCCACACAGAGCCCCTTCAGACAGAGGCAACAACCGAGGTAGGGGTTGAAATGAGAAACCTGCCCAGAGTCCCTTTCCCAGCTCGCTCCTTCCTTCCTTCCTTCCTTCCTTCCTTCCTTCCTTCCTTCCTTCCTTCCTTCCTTCCTTCCTTCCTTCCTTCCTTCTCAGGAAGGGATGATGGGAGGGGGAGAAGTTGCCAGCGCTGGTGGCTGTCGCTATCCCATGGAGACAGGAGCGGTCCCAGTGAAAGGGAAACCTGGCTTCAAGGCCCAGTCAGTGAATGGGCGTGGTGCTGATCTACTGGCGGGGCCCATCAAAGCCGCAATGCGTTCAGCCTTAGATCCATGGGGCAGCCCTGGAGCCAGCAAGGGCCCCTTCACAACGTCTCTGTCCCACCCCCTGGGGGTGCACGGAGAAGGCAGTGAGCGTGCAAGCACTGGCATCCTGGGGTAAAGGGAAGCGCTTCTCTTGCCTTTTTCCTTTCTCAGCGATCAGTAGGGATGGTCAGCAGGGATGCCGGGTGCTCGCTGGCTCCTCTTCAAGCGCCCGGGGTGTGTGTGGCAGCCCCTCGCTGGCCCTTTCCCACCAAAACCTTTTATATCCTCTCCTCTCTCCCTCCTCCTCCTTTTCTCTTCCGAGAGCGCCAATCAGCTGGAGCCTGCTGCTGATCCTGGGGCTTCTGCCGAGCCCCGACAACCCTGCAACTCCAGATGTCTCTGCCTCGGGCTTGTGTGGCACTGCCGCTGCTTAAGCTCATTCCTCTCCCCGCTGATACCACTTCTCTAGGACGGTCCCATACCACCTGCCAGGTGCCAAAGTACCACTGGTGGTATGCGTACCACCAGTTGAAAAGCCCTGCTTTAGAAAGAAGGTTGTAGTTCATTGAATAGCAGAACCAGACAGAAATATGGCTCTGGGAAAGCTGACCACATGTAGCAATAGTTGTCAATTAACTGTTGATAGAAGCTATGTCCCCATGCCATCATCTGTATCTCTTCACCCACTAGCAGCCAGGGAGGGCCAAGGTGGATTTTAGGTGTTCCACCCTAGAATTGGTGTTTTCTCTCTTATCCCACCATCCTGCAGACAATGGAATGTGTATGTGACATGTTAGTGCAACTCATTAAAGTAGCTGTTCTTTCCAGGGTTGCATAGCTGTTGTGGAGAACTTCTACTCCTGAAAACAGACACAGCTGCTTTAAGGAGACAGATGCTGCAGTCTCAACCCTGAATATGCTGAAACACCTATAAATTAAATCAGAGGCATTGCATTATGAATTACAAATCAGAATGACTGAGTTCCTACCAGCGACTAAGTTTAAATGTCTCACCCCACTGGGATTGGACTGTACCACTTGTGCTGGCAGAGGAGGCATGCTGCAGGTCCCGTCAGCCTGATTATTCTGGTTGACAGGGTCCAGGAGGAGGACTTTCTCTGCTGTTGCTCCTAGAACATCTCCCCCCCATGTGAGGTTGCCCCAACCCTCCTATCTTTTCATAAGGGCCTAAAAACGTGGCTCTTGCAATCGGCTTAGGGCCCCAGTGGGGGAGCACAATGGAGGTGGTTAATTGAGTAATAGATCCCACCTCCACCTGCTCCGCCCCTGCCCTCCCCATGTGTCCTTGGTTTTAATGTCTGATTTTAAGTTTGTATGGTTTAACTGTATATGTAACTGTAAGGTAGCCTATGGTAAGATGGGTGGCCAATAAATTTTATAAATAAATAAAACTAAAAAGCCATCTTACAAATTAAGAATAAATTTATTTATTTATTTATTTATGAGACTTATATACCGCTTTAAGTGCAAGCACTCTCTAAGCGGTGTACACCAGTAAGCAATGTATATATATATATATATATTTACATTGCCCCCAACAATCTGGGTCCTCATTTTACCTACCCCGGAAGGATGGAAGGCTGAGTCAATCTTGAGCCGGTGAGATTTGAACCGCTGACCTGCTGAATACAGTCAGCTAAAGTGGCCTGCAGTACTGCATTCTAACTGACCACAGATTGTGTGAATTACAAACGATTTATTCTAGTTGTTGATTTAGCACTATCTTCCTGCCCCTAAAAGCAGACAGGGCCAAGGAAAAAATAAAATATCCTATTGCAATTAAATAATTAAAATAATTTGAAATGAAAATTAATATATTGTAAGATTGAAGGTTTACGCTGCTCACATAAGAGGACAGTTTTGTTGGGGTTTGAGGCTTCAGACTCTGTTTTATAAGATTAATTATTTGAGGTAGATGTTTTTTAGAAGCAAAGAGGAGAGGGCACTTTATACAGATGTGCTTCTTCCTTTTACATCTTACTGTTTGTTGACACAGACAGTGCATAAAATAGGATTCCATATGTAGACTTACAGTTGAGCTGTCTTATTCTGATATGTATTGGAAATGGTACTTCTTCAAGAATACACTTTACTTTAGCTAAAGTTCTGGGTTTTTTTAATTCACAATTTCCCTTGGATAGTTTGATTAAAGATACAGTTCTAATGGCACAAGGAGATACATTGTTTACTCTTCAGATTCTTTGTAGTGCAGAAATTTCTCCTCCTGCTCATGAGAACATGTAAATAGTTGGAATCTAAATCCACCTTTATTCCTTTGTGGGCAGATGGCGACCCATACCTTTGCCTAATTTGGGTTGTTTAATAGTTATGACCCAAGTGAAGACAAGTGCCTCTTACAATATTGTAATGCCTTTAGCCATCTTCACTATGAACCTAGACTATAGCAATATGCTCTCCATGGAGATATCTTTGGAGACCATCCAGAAGCCTCCATTAGTTCAGAATGCAGCACTTGGCTATTAACTCTTGCTTGTTGGCATATGGAACTCATTAGGCTTCCCATGAACTTCTAGATGCAATGAAGCTTACTCATAAAGCCCTACGTGGCTGGGCAAGTCCAAGATTGCTTCCTCTATTGACAATTGGCCTATCCAGCCCAGGAGCTGCTAATGAACCGTGATTTCTGCTCAGTATGCTTTCTTTCTTTGTGTCAGAAGCATCATTAGTAAGATTTTATGCATGGGTATAAGTAGAAACATAAGAACATAAAATTTAAAATATATAAAAGCCTAATTTACATGGTGCTTGCCCAGGAGCGTGTAACATGATTGTATTCACAGATTGAAGTCTATGCTGCAGAAGCTCTTGGTTTTGGTGGTAACACCAATATTCTAGATCAGGGGTGTCAAACTGCTGGCCCGTGGGCCGGTTTCATCATACTGAAGCCGTGCCCACCCCATTGCTGGCAATGCAAAAAGAGTCGCAATACGTTATGACACGTCACGTGACATGGTTAGTTTGACACCTGTGTTCTAGATTCACCTGCTGGAAGAAATCTTTCTTTAGCATCAAAATCCACAAAAATACCCAAAAGAAATAATTGGGGAGTAAACTTAATCTTCCTCTTAAAAACCTTTTGAATGTTCCACCAAATCATAATCCAAAAGGCTTTAATATTTTTACAAGTCCACCAAACATGAAAATAAGTTGCATCCAAGCTACAACATCTCCAACATTTGGGTTGCAGGTTCAGGTACATACAAGATAACTTTTTAGGATCCAGATGCCATCTATAAAACATTTTATAAAAATTTTCCCTCAAATTTTGATCCTGCGTAAATTTAACATTTCTAATCCAAATTAACTGCCATAAATCCAATAAAATCGGTTCCTGAATATTCTGGGCCCATTTAATCATACAATCTTTTACTAGCTCTGTTTCCGAATCCAATTTTATTAACTCATTGTAAATTCTTTTAATATGAGCATATTTCTGATCTTTAATCTGAATTACCAAATTTTCATCTGCTAAGGTGATTCCCACTTTCTTATCTAAGGTCCACTTCTCCACTATTTGCAAATATTGAAACCATGATTGTAAAATATTTTCTTGCCTTAACAAATCTTAAGACTTTAGTTGCCAATTGGTACCCGACCAAATAAGTAATTCTTTATACGAAATATTATCAAAATTCACCCCCTTAGAAACCCCCTGAATTGATTGTCCAGGAATCCCCCAAATAAGTATTTTATAATTTAACTTATAATAATACTTCTTCCAAACTCGAAGTAAAGCATTTCTTAAAATGTGTGACTTAAAAACCAGATCTACTTTCTTATCAAAAATTAAATATGCATGCCAACCATATAATAAATCCCAACCTTCAAGAGCAAGAATATTTTTATTTGTTAAATTAAGCCAATCACTTACTAAAGTTAAAGTGGCCGCATCATAATATAATTTCAAATTAGGTGCTTTAAGTCCACCTCTTTCTCGAGTATCTTGCAAAATCTTAAACTTTACCCTTGATTTCTTCCCACCCCAGATAAATTTATTGATACCTTTCTGCCACTCATCCAAATTAGCATCCTTTTTTAAGATAGGTATCATCTGAAACAAAAAAAGAAACTTTGATAGAACATTCATCTTTACTACTGAGATTCTCCCCAGGAACGATAGTTGTAATTTTTGCCAATCATTTAAATCTTTTTGTACTTTTACCCATAAGTGTTCATAATTATTCTTATACATTTTTCCATTAGATGTTGTGATATATACTCCTAAATACTTAACCTTATTAACTACTTCATAACCTGTTGCTTCAACTATAATATCTTTTCCCTTCATAGACATATTTTTCAATAATATTTTAGTTTTGTTCTTATTCACCTTAAAAGCAGAGACCTGTCCATACTGCGCTAAAATTTCAACCAAGTCTCTGACCGAATCTGTTGGGTGGGATAACGTCACAACCAAATCATCAGCAAAAGCTCTCAGCCTATAATCAATCTTACTTATTTTTATTCCCTTTAATCTAGATGAATCTCAAATTTTAATAAGTAAAATCTCCATTGTTAATACAAATAACAAGGGGGATAAGGGACAACCCTGCCTTGTACCTTTTTCTATTTTAAATACATCTGTTAATCTCCCATTAATTATAATTTGTGCCGATTGTTGCTGATATATGGCCTTGAGAGCACACAAAAATTTGTCTCCAAAGTTCATTTCCTCTACAACTTTCAATAAAAATTTCCAATTTAATTGATCAAAAGCTTTCTCAGCATCTATAAATATTAAAGCAGCAGGGATTTGGTTGTTCTTATTCAAATACTCTAGTAAGTTAACAATTTGTCTTACATTATATTTCATATATCTTTCCATTATAAATCCAGATTGGTCAGTATGAATCAATTGTTTCAAAACCTGCATTAATCTATTTGCCAGTATCCTTGCAAAAATCTTATAATCTGTATTTAAAAGAGATATAGGCCTATAATTTCTAGGTTGGGACAGATCCTGGTCTTCCTTTGGAATCAATGATATAAAAGCCCTTCTCCAAGATGGAGGTAGCTCTGCTCCCAACAAAATATCATTGAAAAGTTCCTTTAATGGTTCTATCATTTCTTCAGATAGCATCTTATAATAAATTGCTGTTAGTCCATCAGTACCTGGAGTCTTGCCAACCTTCAATTGTTTAATTGCAGAAATAATCTCTTCAGAAGTAATTAAACCATTAATCTCATCACGTTGGTCAATCGTAAATCTAGGAAAATGTGCTTCCTGTAAATATTTTTCTATGTCTGAAGTTTGTATAGTTTCACTAGCATATAACTTTAAATAAAAATCTAAAAAAGTCTTTTTAATCAAATTTTGTTGATACACTTCTTTACCTTTATAAATTATTTTATCTATAGTCCTTGATTTCTGTTTCTTACGTAATTGATAAGCCAACCATCTACCAGGTTTATTTGCATTACAAAATGCATTGTGTTTCATATACCTCAAATTAGTTGCCATCTGATCCGCTATTAATGTATTAAATTGCTCCTTAAGCAGAGTTATAGAAACTTTTAAGTTATTATCCATTGGGTTTGATATTAAAATCTTTTCCTTACATTTAATCTCATCTTCCAAGTCTTTACGTTTCTGAGTCTGTTTACGTCTATGAGCATTATTCATAGAAATCAAAATCCCTCTCATATATGCTTTACTAGAATCCCATACCATTGGCATCCAGGTACCCTTATTCATTTTTCAAGCAAAAAATTCCTTTAAATAACCTCTACATCTCTGTATATTCTCTTCATATCTAAATAAATTCTCGTTCAACATCCAAGACCTTCTAGTCCCTTCTTCCAGCGAAATTTCCAACCATACAGGACTATGATCTGAAATTATTCTAGGAAATATCTTGGTATTCTTCACCCTAGAAGAGAAATCATTAGTAACTAAAAAAAAGGCAATTCTAGAATAAGATTGGTGCCTATCTGAAAAAAAAGTAAAATCTTTTTCCTGAATGTTCCATTCTCTCTCTAAGTTCCAAATCATCCTTTAAATCAAAAAAAGCTTTAGGAAGTCTTGCATGATTAGACACTTCAAAAGAACCCTTCTTATCTTTACTTGAATCTAAAACACCATTTCAATCTCCCATCATAATAACTGACTTGTAGTCCAAAGAAGTTAATTTCTGGTGAATCATCTTGTAGAAATATTTTTGTTGTTGATTGGGATAATCCAACAAGAAGAGTTCTCTTATCATTTATTAATAAATCAATAATGACATATCTACCTTGTGAATCAAAATCAATTAATTTCGGTGAAAGCTCTTTTCTCACATAAATGACTACACCTCCTTTTTTCTGCAAAGCAGGAGCTATGAAATGTACCCCCAGCTGGGGGTTAAACAAATATTTTTGATCTTTAGAAATAATATGAGTCTCTTGTAAACAAATAATATCATTTCTGTGTTGTTTCAAATAATGAAAGACTTTCTTTCTTTTCTCTGGTGAATTGAGACCATTAATATTCCAGGTTAGAAGCTTTGCCATTCTTGGCAGGTTGAAGCCTTTGGAACAAAACCTCTAAATTTGTAGTCAATGACCTCTTTGGCCTTGCTCCTCCCACTGGCTCCGAAGTAGACTGTGATGAAACTCCATCATCTACATTTGTTGTTGTTGTTGTTGTTGTTGTTGTTGTTCTCTTTCTCTACGTTTATGAGCAGCACGTGTAATTCTCTGTTCCCTTGGGTCTTCCGTTATTTGCAAACTCTGTTGCATAGATTCAACCAATAATTCTTCTCCCAAAAATGGTATTGAACCTACAGCCAACTGTGCTTCTGCCTTACTCTCATCCTTTTTTGATCTTGGAGATGGTGGTAGATCTCCTTTTAAAACAGTAACATAGAAATCTCTTGCTTTTGAAATTGTATTAAGACGATATCGTGTGCCAACATAGATCACCACTATCCCCACAGGTATATCCCATCTAAATTGAATTTGTCGTTTCTTAAGTTCTTCAGCCAAAAAAAGCAAAGTCTTTTCTTTTTCTAAGAATTTTTGAAGGTATTTCCTTTAAAACTATCATATCCTGAGCTGCAATCTGAAATCTTTGCTTATAGAAAACCTGTATAATTTCATTACGAAGTGATCTTCTAGCAAAATAAACAATTACATCTCTAGGTAATTTTCTCTGTTTTGCAACCCACGAATTGACTCTGAAGATCTTTTCTATATCTCTCAACATTCCTTCAGGATCACATTCCAAAATAGAAGCCAGTTCTGCTGCAATTTCTTCTTTCAAATTCTCCTGAACATTTTCCTTCAAGCCTCTTATTCTCAAAGCATACTCCATTTCTCTATATTGTGACATTATAATTTCATTCTGTGCAACATCCACATTATCTTCTATTTTTTCAACTCTGTCTTGTAATATTTCAACATTACCAACCACCTCATCCACACGGTCGTCAATCTTTTCTACAAGACTGGCAAGCCCCTGGAGTGCAAACACAATATCTTCCCTCAACTCATTATTTTTTTGAGCCAGGAGCTCTGCTGTTTTTTGTACAGTGTTATCCAAAGCATCTTGTAAATCCTTAAGTGTAATTGCCTGAGGTGGCAATTTATCTTTTTATGATTTTATGGGTTTTTTTCTGGATTTTAGTATGACTGGATGTTTTAATTTTGATTTCAAATGAAGTTGAAAATCAAATATTATCACTTATAACCCAGCAAGAGAATGACTGATGATGACCAGTATAAGTGGGATCTGGTGTGTCCTCAATCTTTGCTCATAAAAGTCAAGAAGGTGGCTGCAGCAGTGCAGTTGTTGTGTGTGATGTCATATATACAACAGATCAAAAACTGAGAAGGATCTTTAATTGTAGTGTCACAGTCACCATCTTAACTTTTTTGACCATGCCTTACGGAAAATCATATATGGGATAAATAAAGCAAGCAAAGACCTCAAGTGATACGTATCAGGAAAAATAATGCATGGAAAAAACAGGTATGTCCTTTGTATTATTGATGTGGCTGGGAAAGTGTTTGGAATGTTTGCAGGAACAAGCTGCATTTCACACACATTCTTAAGAGATGTTAAATTTTGCTTAAAAAAAATCTTAATGGTCTCCTTCTTGTCATTTTGTCTTCCAGGGTCGAAAAAGCAGAAAAAGCCTCTGGGATACTGATCCTTCTTCAGAATGAGCAGTACTTTGTCACCCTGCAGTAAGTGCATCTGTCAGCTGGGCTGGGACATAGGTTGGCATCCAGGAATTGTATCAGGACTGCCTTCATTCAAATCCTAAGAAAGAAATCCCCCGAGTCCTTTGATTTAAAGAAGAGGTACTTTTACTAAGAAAGAACTGATAGCAGCGAAAGCAGGAAAGATTTGAAGCAAAACTGCATGCAAGTTACATAGTAAATCATCCCAAATTCCTTCACCCAAGGGTCCGGCACAAAGAGTCCAATCAATGTCCAGCAAGATGTTATGGGAAACAGCTCCTCTGCAGGTGTTTCTTGCCTTCCGAGTCTCAGAACGGTTGGCCTTGGAGAAATGTAAACTAACTCATTCAGCAGTGCCATAGCTCAAGAGTAAAAACCTTCCTTCCAATTCCCAGAGACACTCACACACCAGCACTCTTCCCACCCCAAATACCTAACACCCCCCCCCATTTCCATGGCAGCTGATAGCAAGCAAGCCTCAAAAAAACCACTGGAGATCTGGCTGACATTTGGCCCTCCTTCGACAGGGGTTTAGCCCTACAAAAGAAAAATAATGCAAAATTCCAAAATAGAATGGGAAACACAGTATAACATCAGTTAAAGATTAGGGAACATAATTCCTGCTTGGGTTGTCCGGGTATTTTCTATGAAACACTCAGAGCCTAGGGGCTCAAACATTTCAAGTATCCACTCATTTAGACTGCAAAAGAGGGAAATGCTCTTGTGTATTGTATTGTATTTTCCCTTTATGTTTCCTGGCATCTAATATTTCTTTGATTTCAAAATGTTGTTTCCTTCTATGAAAATAGGTATTGTGGGGATTGACTGAGCAGGGCAAAGAGGACACACAATTTCAGACTTAGGCAAACTGCAAAGAAACACAGGGTGGATTCATTTTAAGATTTTTTGGCAGATCCAAGTGCACTGTAACTGGGGTTGGCTGTTTTTACCATGGTGAATGGGCCCACATATTTTGGCCCCAATTTCTTTGATTTTTGGGTAGTCTATAAGTACTTAGTGGACAAATACACTCTCACCCACTTTAAATTCTTTTGATTTAGTCCGCTTTTTATCAGCTTGTTTCTTGTGGGCTTGATGTGCATCTTCTAATGCTTTGAGGGTCACTGGCCAAGTATTTTGATATTGCTCAATCTACTCCACCAAGGAGCTTCTCCTGGGGCAGTTCTGGCATTGGGACAAAATCCTGGCCAGAAGCTACCTTGAAAGGCTAAATCCTTCAATACTGTGAACTGAATTATTATAAGCTACCTCTTCAAAAGGCAGTTGGCTGGCCCAATTACCTTGTTGATAATTAATGTAGCACCTAAGGTACTGGTCCAGAACTGAGTTAGCTCTTTCACATACCCTGCTAATTTGCAGATGATGGGAATGGCCCTTGGGCAGAGCCCAATAAGTTAAGGAATTCCTGCCAAAACTCCTATCCCCCAGAAATGTGTAGTCAGGAACATCATGTAATCTATACACATGTTGGATAAAAAGTTTAGTGAGCACTAGCAGAGGGTATTCAAGGACAAGGGACAAAATGTATTTGTTTTGAGAAAAGGTCAGTAACAACCCAAATAACAGTATTTCCCCCACTCTCGGGTAACTCCACTATAAAGTCCATTGATATCCCCTTCCATGGAGCCCATGGTCTAGCCACACTCTGCAAGAGTCCAGTGGGTTTCCCCGGAGGCCATTTTGTAGCTTCACAGATAGGACAACTAGCCACATAGCTCTCAAAGTCTTTCTTCTATGATGGCCACCAAAATTGCTGCTTGATCAAGTGCAATATTTTTACAAATCTGAAGTGGCTGGCAGATTTTGAATCAAGGGCCTTCTGCAGGACAGTTCCCCTCAAACTGGAAGGCACATACAGTTTAGCTCCAACCCATGGTAGACCATCACGAAAGATGCAGTCATTTATTTGGGACAGAAACTATTCATTATTTTTCAGTGCCCCCTTCAATTCCTTACACAGTTCATTTGGAAGTTCAGGCTCTGATTTGCCCTGAGCCCTGGTAGTCACTGGAGCAGCTAGCTGCTTAAAAGGGATGTCTGGCCAGACAACTTCAGGTCTATCACTGTTATATTGAAGTAATCTAGATAAAGCATCAGCCATGAAATTTCTCCCCCTGGGATATATCGCAGTACAAAATTAAAATGATTGAAATACTATGCCCAGCGAACTTGCTTAGGTGACAATTTTCTTGGGGTTTTCAAGGCTGTTATGATCAGTCCACACCTCAAATGGTTGTTTAGCCCCCTCAGGGAAATGTCTCCAAGTTAGTAATGCCCATTGTACCGCAAATCCTTCCTTCTCCCAGACTGCCAGTGTCAGTTAGTTTCTTGGAGGTGTAGTTGCAGGGTTTCAGTACACCCTGGGTATTCTGCAACAACACAGCACCTACAGCCACATTACTAGCATCTGCTTGGATTTCAAACAGTGCCTCAGGGTTGGGGTGTTTGAGCACGGGTTCAGCTGCAAACAAGCTGCAAACAACTGCTTGAGCTTTTCAAATTCCCTTTGGCATTTCATTGACCATTTAAGGAGCTGGCTGGGTTTAGGCTTACTATCACCTTTATTTTTTAAAAGGTTGGTAATGGGCAACGCAATCTTGGCAAAGGAAGAGATGAATTGGCAAAACCCAGAAAATTCTGCAATTGCTTCCTAGTGCAGGGGGGTGCCCACTCTAACACCGCCCGCACCTTTTCAGTATCCATCTCTATTCCTTCATGGGAAATGCGATAACCCAAATAGTCAATTTTAGGATAGGATAGGATAGGATAGGATAGGATAGGATAGGATAGGATAGGATAGGATCTGGAAGGGACCTTGGAGGTCTTCTAGTCCAGCGCCCTCCTCAAGCAGGAAAACCTATACCATCTCAGACAAGTGACTGTCTAGTCTCTTCTTAAAAACCTCCAATGATGGAGCACCCATGATTTCTGAAGGCAAGCTGTTCCACTGGTTAATTGTCCTCACTGTTAGGAAATTTCTCCTTAATTCCAGGTTGCTTTTCTCTTTGGTCATTTTCCAACCATTGTTTCTTGTGTTGCCCTCTGGTGCTTAGTTTGAAACCTCGTCTTTGGGGCAGCCCCTCAAATACTAGAATACTGTTATCATGTTGCCTCTGTTTCTTCTTTTCTTTAGAGTAGCCAAACCCAAGTCCTGCAACTGTTCTTCATATGTTTTAGTCTCCAGGCCTTTGATTATTTTAGTTGCTCTTCTCTCTTTTCCAAAGTCTCAACATCTTTTTTGTAGTATGGTGACCAGAATTGGTTGCAGTATTCCAGGTGTGGTCTTACTAGGGTTTTATAAAGCAGTACTAATACTTTGCGTGATCTTGATTCTATGCCTCTGTTTATACAACCCAGGATTGTATTAGGTTTTTTGGCTGCTGCTGCACACTGCTGGCTCATAGTCAAGTGATCGTTCACTAGGACTCCAAGGTCCCTTTCACAGTTGCTGTTTTTGAGCCAATCTACTTGAATCTTTAATTTTTCCTGCCTAAATATAAAACTTTGCTTTTCTCCACATCAAAACTAATTTTGCTGGATAGGGCCCATTGTTCAAGTTTGTCAAGATCTTTTTGGATCCTGAACTTGTCTTCTGGGCTGTTAGCTATTCCTGCCAGTTTGGTGTCATATTTGGTGTCAAATTTGATGAGCTCTACTTCTATTCCCTCATCTAAGTGATTAATGAAGATATTGAAGAGTACTGGGCCTAAGACGGAGCCTTGTGGTACTCCACTGCTTACTTCTCTCTATGTGGATGTAGTACCATTGAGGACTACTCGTGGAACTCACTTTGACAGCTTAACATACAAGTTTAGCTGCCCTGAGCTTTTTTAGGACTACACACACCAATTTCACATGCTCCTCTATAGTTTCAATGTATATTAAAATGTCATCTAAGTATACCAAGACCCCTTTATACAAATGCTCATGCTGCACTTCATTGATCAATTGCATGAAAAGAGCAAAGACCCAAACAGAAGCACTCAGAACTGGAAACAACCCAAAGGGCAGTTAAAGACAGTTTACCATTCATCTCCTACCTTGATGTGAACTCTATAGTAAGCTTCTCTCAAATGTAGCTTAGTAAAAATTCTCCCTTTTGCCAGGTGAACCAGCATGTCTTTCTTCAGAGGTAGTGAGTGGATAGATATTTTCCACACAAACAACATTTAATCCCTAATAATCAGTTTAGAGTTGAAAGGTCCCATCTTTTTTCTCCTGGAACAACAGTTTCGGTCTAGCTGGTTTGATAAATCCATGCTTCAGATTCTTGTCAAAAAAAGTGTGAAGCTCATCTTACTCGGGGTCATTGAGTAGATTTTTGGCTTGAGGAGTTTTGCTCTGGGGAGGATTTCTATGCTGCAGTCTGTGAGGTAATGTGGCAGAAGCACATTGGAGCCCCGTTCACTGAACACTTCCCTTAAGTCCTCGTATTCCTTTGGAATTTTTTCCTCTGGTTTTGGACACATTGCCTTGCCACCTTGGTTCTTTTGACTTCAGAAGGTGAATCCCTTCCCCTCCTTCCCATCAGTTGAGGCAAGATTTTTAGGAGCCCTTTCCTCCAATTCACATGAGGGTTCTACTTGTGAAGCCATGTCAGTTCAAGCAAGAAGGGCCCCTCCATCCCAGGTGCCACTATAAAACAGAGTCTCTATGGCTCCCCATTCTCATTTCCACAGGCTCAGTCACAAAATGGGCTGCCCCCCGCCACTGACCCATCCAATTGGCAGAAGGCTATGGGTACTCTCAACCTCCTCAATCTCAGTCTCAATTTTTTTACACCTCTGGACTGACCACACACCTAGTCCAGTAAGGCCAACATTCTCCCCTGGGTGCCAGATGAGGGCACCACTAATTCCACCAGGATAGTCACAGGGATTTCATGTTGACTTACCAGAGATTGTCATCAGTTGGTACCACTCTTTTCCGGAGGGTTTGGAGTTCCCAGCTCCTCCTGGCCAGGAGGGGAGAACTCAACAAAC